CCTGGTCCCAACTTAATTAATAAAATCCTTTTATTAATTTGCTGTGAATTTTGCTCCTTTACATCCAGCAAAGTCTTTCAAGGGAGGATTTACAGTCACAGACCTTAGCTGGCTTGGAGAGCTGCCAGGCCGATCTCTGCAAAACTTGGCAAGGAGTCTCGGAGAGTCACGAACCAATGAAGCAAACTAATTGCCTCCTGCAAACTCCACTCCCCTTTCGCTCCTCTTTTATGCCCTCTGGGAGGGGCCATTCATCGTCCACCTGTGGCCTCACTCCCAAGTCGACCCCTGTTCTTTAGCTGTTCCCTTTGTCTGGCAACTCTGCGCATGCACATACTGGGAACAGGCTCCAGCTGTTCCTCTGCCTCACTGATGTCTGACTCTGAAGGCAGCTGATAGCTGGCAGACGGCCCTGGCCCCCTCTCTGCCTCCAACACAGAGCCCTCATCAGAGTCTTCCCCAGACTCCAGGACTGGCCCAGGTTCCTTCCCAACCTCCTCACTCTCTGAATCTCTCCCAGCTCTGCTGGTCGCTGACAGGCCACAACAGAGTCCAAGAGGGAAGAAATGATGTTCTTGCACACGTCACAGGATCTTAACTGGTCCTGCCTGTTCGAGTGGGGGATCATGTGCTATTTACCTTGGATCGTTTTCCTTTCCAAGAGATCCCGTGATGATACTACTGTGTTTTCATAGTAGCGGAAGCATTCTAGCTACCTCTGGAGGAACTATGATTAGTTCCGTGTGCGCTTGCCCTGTTTCAATGAGAGCTGCAGCTCTTTCGGCTTAATTTAATGAGCCCCGGTGGCGCAGTGTTTAGAATGCAGTTGTCAGAGTCCCAAGTAATGCACCCATAGCAAACAAAACTCCGAGGCTGGTAGATTCTTCCAAGAATAGTTTTATTGGACATAATCATATTGGCACCGTTCTGGTGAAAACCAACTTTGAAGGTTCCTGCAGTTTTCACCTAATTAAAAGCAAAATTTTGTTGTACGGTGTGTAAACTAAACTAAAATTGGTGTGGGCGGGCTGCAGAGTGAAAATAAGATGTGGTAGCAGAGGGTGAGACTGAGAACTCCAGTTGTATTGATGGCACCTTTTGTTAATTGTTGTTGTGTATTTTACAGGTATTGCACAGACGAAATCCAGACGTTTCCACAGCCATCGATGCTGGAGAGTCACATGAGCCTCATGCACGGCATAAAAAATCCAGATGTTTCCCAGATATCCAAAGACTTGACAAAAGTAATCTGAGATGCTTTAGTTAAAATATGGAGGTGGGATAGTTCCCATTCTGTCTTTTGAGTTTGCCCCTCTTGTTTGGAAGCGGTCTTCCAGGAGAGGCTCTCTGATTCTCTTTTCAAGAAGACGGTTCCACCACAAAACCGCGTTCGACTAAACCGCGCTCGACTAAACCGCGTAGCTGACGTCATCAACAGCGCGACAGAAGCACGCTGTAAACGCTAAACCTAAAATTAACCCCTAAACCTAACCCCCCCAAACCTAATCCTAAACCTAACCCTAAACCTAACTCTTAACCTAACCCTAACCCTAAACCTAACCCTAACCCTAAACCTAACCCTAAACCTAACACTTACCTTAAGTTGAATCGGCTTGCTTTCAAAGCGCTATTTAAAGTGCCCTTCTTTCTCCGCGCTCGTTGTTGTCGCCCTGTTGATGACGTCAGCGACGCAGTTTAATCGAGCGCGGCTTAGTCGAGCGCGGTTTTGTCGTGCCACGCAAGAAGACCACAGGCCTTTAAATATTTGTTTTTTATTTATTTTATTTTTAAATAAAATACTTTCCCTTGTGGGTCCTGAAGACAGGGCCCAGCCCTATCCAAAGTTACTTACTGTAATGAAAATGTACCCGTTTCTGCAATCATTTGGATGTAATTTAACTTTTAAGCTTTAAAAAAAATCCCCTAGTACTACATTCCAAGATATTGGTTTCCTGGCAGATCCAAAGTAAGTCTATATTACATCTCACGCAGGGCTGTCTGAAACCCCTTGTGATTTGACATCACCGGCATAAAAGATGCAGCTTGATTTCAAGAGACCTGCGTTAGATCGATCTTTTAATTAAATGAAAATCCTAGGAAAGCCTTGGAGATTGACAAGTGGTAACCAGTGATCTGAAGAAACACAGCCTGGAGGAAATTAATCCTGAAGGCATTCTGTTTGCCTTTGACTCTGGTTACCTTCCCAGCAAAGCGCTGGGAGACAATCGTTCGATTAATTATATTCGAAGATTCTTCCCACCCAAAATGTTTCCCTATTTTGGTTGCTATCTTCAAAATTGAGGAAACGGTTGAAAGTTGTCTTCCGTTCAACAGAAGTACAAATAGGGGGTCAATCAAAAGAGAGAGGGCCTTCTGTACCTGTAACGAAGTCGTATAGCAAAACACCCTCTTTATCTTGTCTCCTTCCTGCCACCTGTCTCACCTGTGGATGAATACATTAGAGGCTAAATCCATTGACCGAGCAGAGTGGAGTCACTTGGGAACCTGTAATTCTGCTCTTATGGTTTAGGACAGGGGTGTCAAACTCAATTTCACTGCGGGCCGCGTCAGGGTTGTGTTTGACCTTGGGGGGCGGGGTGGGTGTGGCCTGGGTGGGTGTGGCCGTCTTGTGGCTCCCAACTTGGGGGCCCCTGTGGTGGCCCGCGATGCCTCTGCCAGCAAAAACAGGCTCCTGAGCTCCGTTTTTGGCCAGGACAACCTCCTGCAGCCATCTGCCAGCGAAAACAGAGCACCCTCCCAGACTCTGTTTTCACTGGCGGATGGCTGCAGGAGGTTATCCCAGCCAAAAACGGAGCTCAGGAGCCCGTTTTTGCTGGCAGAGGCATCGTGGGCCAGTCCTTCACTATTTCCAGGGCAGCCCCATGGGCCAGATCTAAGTACCCCGCAGGTCGGACCCCACGGGCCATGTGTTTGACACTCATGGCTTAGGGTGCCCTGTACAGCTTGGTAACAGGGTGCGAGGAGGAGGAGGAGGAGGAAGAGCAAATGTTCTTATTGCTCTTAGCGGGCATCGTTTGGATGGTGGGCTGATGGGTACGCTAACCGTGCGGCTTTTGTTTTGCAGACGAAATCTCCAAAGAGAGTAACCGCCGATGGCCCGAGTCCGATGGAAGCGGCCGCATCCGGATCAGACGATCCCCCAGCAAAGAAACTGAAGGCAGCCCGCTGGAAATGTGCAAAGTGTGGCTTTGCGACAGCCACCGAGACTGAATTTCTGGATCACATACCTCGACACAAGTCAGACAGTTCCACTTACCAGTGCCTGCACTGCGGCTTGTGTTACACTTCGCACCTGTCTCTGAACAGGCACCTCTTTATCGTTCATAAAGTCAAAGATCCGGAAGAAGAACAAGGGGAGGAGGAGGAGGAAGAAGAGGAGGAGGAAGAAGAGCCAGAACAAGAGAGTGCAAAAAAGATTCCGGAAATGGAAACGAGAGAGAACGGACTGGGTGAAGCCAACAGCGAGACCAGCCACAGCAGGGCGAAAGGAGACCCTTCCAAGGACAGAGACTCGGAGCAGCGCGACCCCGCGCCCTGCAGCAAAGAGAAAAGCAGTTCCCAGAACAAACCCACAAAGTCTCCCTCTATTTAAGAGTCCTCTCAGCTGCCCCAGAAACCCTGCTTGGAGGAGGGAGGGAGGCTGTTCATTTGATGGGCATAAGGAAGGAAAATTGGCAAAGCCACCAACTCCCTGGCACTAAATGAATAGTGGAAGGGGAAACGAGAGAGAGAGAGAGAGAGAGAGAAATTAGAACAGTCTTTCTCAATCTTGGCCCCTTTTAAGAGGTGCGGACTTCAACTCCCAGAATTCCCCAGCTGGGGAATTCTGGGAG